CAATCACATGCTTTGGTGATTCATTGATAAGCTTTCCCCGGAAAAGGGGCACGGCGGGAGGTCCTCGTGGCAATCATGTTAATAATGCCACAAGATGTCGGGCAGCCATTAGCCCTCGCCATTAGGCCCTCCATATCCCCCCGATTTTCCCCTTTCACCAGGCAATTAATTAAAGAGCTTTAAAGCAACATCGAAAACAGCAATAAAAACTCCCGAAATGAAAGCCAGAGAACTGCGATTTCTGTTTATTTTGATTTTGAAAAATCAATTTTGAATTTGTTGTTTATTTTTGATGTGGTTATCCGGCCAGCAGCCAGTGGCGTGTAAACAAATCGAGCGCTTTTTTCGCAGATGCCACAAACAGACAGTCTCTGTTTTTTGTGTGCCCGGCTCCTCGGAGAAATAAATATAAAAACTATATAAAAGGCAAATATTCGTGCGGAAAATATACCTATGGAAAATGGTACCGCGAATGTGTGCCCGCGCCATTAGTGTCACAAGTGTAATTGTTTTTTAATCGCATTGATAGCGCCGCGCCGGCAGTAAATTCCACACACGAAATTATTTCGAGTGTGCGCTAAAACCACTTGAAAAACGCCAAGAGCTTTGAAAGTGACCCAAAAAAACAAAAAACCCGCCGAGAGTGCTCATGTGCAAGTGGGTGTGCCTAATGCTCATAAACAAACAAAGACAAAGGAAAGTGGAAAGTGGAGAAAGCAGAGAGCGGTGAAGGGGCGGAAGTGAAAGGCATTCGACTTAAGCTGTCTACTCACACATGAAAACTAAAATGCTGCACACCAAAATGGCGATAAAAAATTTACATAATGGCTGGAGGAAAACATGAAAGCGAAATAGTGGCAAACGTGCAAATGAGAGGAGCACATAAGTGACTGGCAAATGGCAAGTGACACTCGGAAAATGGAAAAGCCAAAGGAGTAATGACGAAAACGGAGTGGCCACCGTGGAGCTGAGGTGCCAAGGGGTTAAGCCGGCTTAAAATATAATTAAAGGGTATAAGGAAACTCCATTTAATGCGTTTTAAGCACGATTCACGGATTAAAGTCACCACTAAAATAAAACTTATATATTAGATAGATATACTGTTCAACTTAATAAATCCTTACAAGGTTTGTATCACTGGGTTCTGAAATTACTTTTAATGGTCTTAAAGTATGCAGTATAAATAGAGAATCATTTGGATTATAATTATATTGTAGATACTTTCAGACCTTATTAATATTTCCTTTCAGTTATTTATTTAATATCTTAAGTATGCAGTTAATGGATATCATTTTGGATTATAATTATATTGTAGCATACTTTCAGACACCTTATTAATATTTAAAAACAGTTCAGTATTGTTTAACTTCTACATATCTTAACTTTTCAAAAATTCCGTATTAAATCATATTACTTTATTTCCCTTATTTTAGAGAGGCTTCTTGAAGTGAATTAAAGGCCAGTGCAGCCAGGGAATCCGTTTGTAACCAAAGTCGCCTCTAATGGCTCCACTTTGCACTGTTCTACTGTTCTGCTAATGGTGCCTCCACTTAGTTCTCTTGGCTTTTGTGCTCAAGACAAGGACTACTGCAAAATGCATTATATCAGTTCTGCCCGGGGCTGCGGAGCCCAGCTTATATATCCTCCTATATCCCGTGCATATATAGAGACCGGACCCGGGCTGGATTTTAATAAGTCAGAGAACGAGGAGATGAACACAACGACTACGACCATCAGTGTAAAACGTGCCTTGAGCACCACAATGTAAGATTTGATAAAAAGCCATAAAAAGCAGAGCTGGCAAACTTAAGGCCAAGACTATAAAATAATAATGAAGTCAATTTCAATGATGTTGCTGTGGCCAAAACAACAAAGCTTAACTCGATCCCAACCCCTGACCCTGGGAACCATTTCGTTATATTGTTATTATTGCTGCTTTGGACAGCAAAGGGCAAACTGGAAGGGAAAAAACGAAAACCAACAAACAAACAAAACAAAAGCCTCACGTCACATCATTTCCTGCAGCGATTTTCGTGTCTTGCCTTTGACGTTCCCTTAAAATTTCCTCTTTTATGGCAATTAGCTTATGATTTTCATTGTTATTGCCGATACAAACCAGCTGCCCGTAGTTTTTCCCCCTAATGGTACACGTATGTAATTTATGTGGACAAAAAGTAAACAACTTTGTCATTAAATGGGTAATGGACTAGCTGGCAAAAAGGGAGAAACGTCGAAAAGTTCTCCTGAAAGTATTGCTAAGCTGTCGTTCTCCCAGATTGCTTTTCCTTGGCGTTTCAGCGAATTCAGCAAACTTTTGGCGGGGCCCACTTAAAACTTGACCACTTAAAAGTTGCCCAGAATGCATAATACCATTTAAAAACCTCCAGCCACCTGGTGTCTCTCGAGTGTTCTTGGCTATTTCTCCGGAATTCCTCTGGGACAACGACCTGCTGGCCCATTAACACTGCCTTGTAACGTTCAATTACAATAACTAATTCGCAGCTAATCCGGTAGCCTGTTTCCGCTCTAATTGGCCAATGTTTTCGCAGGGAAACTGAAAATCTGAAAGGTGAAAATGGAAAAGGCTGCTCTTTTTGCACAGCTTTTGGGCCAACTCGGAACACACTCCTTGAGTGCGTAAGCGTGTTAGTGTCAAGCGGCTTATCTATTATCATTTCGTTGAATTTTGAATGGGCTGGGCGAGAGCAAAGCAAACCTTTGTCTGTCGCTCGTCTGGGGCTTCATTACGCTTGATTTCTTGTGCCCCAACAAGGACACACATCCTCCCAGCCGAGGCACACGGCAAAAGAGCTCTTTGTTCGTCCTTCCTTGGCAAGGAGCAACTCCTCGGCTTCTCGTCCTGGCGTTATAATGCCGTTGGTTCTGGCCGAAGTCATATGACTGCTGCACTGAGGGGAAAAGTTGTGAAGGTCACATATATATGATTAAATAATATCGAACCATTAACATATTTATTTCAGATCTTAAAAAGATATCTTAGGAGACTTGAAATCTCATTAAAAAGGACGAAAAGTGTGCAATACAATCAGTACTCTCGATTCTACAGATGGCGACTAAAACTTATCGTAGCATACTTTTAACACGAACCAGTAATGCCTAATAATATTTTTGAAAGGTTGTCACTTAGAGATAATGTATATTCAACCGAACCCTTTTAAGCCCAAATTAAATTTCCAGTATTTTGTACTAGTGCACATGCCCAAACAATGAGTCCGAAGAAGGCGTTCTCTCGTCACTTGTTCGACCTGTAAGTGCAGGGACGGACATTCGAGCAGCGTGCCGACGACAGGATGTGGTCACAGGATGCGAGCAGTGTGCCCAAGGACTTGGAGCTGCAGTCGAGTGACCAACCCAATGACTGACACCACTGTAAACAGCCGAGGGCTGAGGAGAGGTCCTAGGTAAACACACAGTGCCGGCCACATAATGAACTGACTGCTAGGCGGTGGGGTGGCACACCTGTCCTTTCCCCGTGCCACGCTCCACCTGTTGACTGAAGGTCCTTGCCGGGCTGTAGCACAAAAGCGAGCAACACTTTTTGCACATTTACCAAGTTTATGCAATTTACACAAGCCCGTCAACAGTCACACGTCTCGTTGGGTTCCCTTTTCCCCGCTTTTCCTGTTTTCCCCGCCTTCCGCCTCTGATATTTAGACCCCTTTAAGCCATTTAAATGCCCTACTTCCCGGCCCCACCTAGCCATTCTGCTGCCTTTATGCACACACTGTGCTGACCACAAGCGTTTCGGTCTGAATAATTGACCAACAGACAAAAGCAGAAAAAACGAAATAAATGGCAAAAATATATACAAAAAGTGCTGAAAACAGCGGGACCACAGCAAAGCGAAGCCGGACAGGGACTGCAAAAAAAACAAATGAATAAACAAATTTATGAAGCGCAACCACAGAGTTAAGCGCTGTCCACCTCGTGATTTAAACTTGGCCAACGACGGTGAAAAATCCCTTCATATATCACTGCCGAGCATAACCAAAACCATATGTTTTTGTCCCATCTAGACTCATCAAATTTATCCAGCAAGGTGTAACAGGAATTTGGTTAGCACACTCAGACCAGCAAGAGCTAAGACTTAATTAAAAATATTCCAGTCAAGTTTGGTTTCCTTTGACAAATTTTCTTTTGTGAATTCGGAGAAAATATATTTATACATTTTTTGGCAAGAGTAATGTAAGGAAATTTAAATTAAGTCACTCAATCACAACCTTTACTAGATATTTTCCTTAAATCTGATATGCCAACTTGGGTTTTAATTTAAATAAATTAAAAACAAATAAAGAAACGATACATTAAATACTAAGAATAACCGAAAATGTATTATAAATATTAATTTTACATAGATTATTATTCCAAGAAGTTAGTTTATATAAATCATAGATTTAACAAAGTAAATTGAATTTGGACTCGAAAAGGTGGCCAAAAGCACTTCAAGGCCAGTAATGAAATCCACAAAATGTATTTCCGCAAAATAAATAAGTTGAATTGCTTCTCACTCACCCAAGAGCAACTAAATTCATCGAATTTGTCCATCAAGGTGTACAAATATTGCAGGTAAACATATTTCTATCTCATATTCGGACAGTTGATAACAAAAGGACCTCGGCCAGGCACGTAACTAATTTATTTATGTATTTCTTAGTCGCCGCATTCACACAAAGGACCCTCGACTGCCACTTTTTCCATGTCCTGGCCACAGGCACATTAGCCGCAACGGATGTTGGCCTTTTCATGCTCAGTTGGGCACAAAGGAGCGGGGCTTCGCCCTTCGCAAGGAGAGAAATGTTTTGGGGCAAACAAGTGGGCAGTCCAACTGACCGAAATGTCAATAAATTCATATGAAGTTATCTCTTCCAGACAGCTTAATGCGTTTTTTTATGGCCTAATCTAGAGTCAAATTTTTCTGCCGCTTCGCTCGAGCGGAATCCAAGTCCCAAATGGCTCCATAGTCAAATTCACGGACTCACCTCGTTCAAAACGTTCAATCGTTCAATCTGCAAAGAGAGGGAAGGGAGAAAAGAGTGGGGTTCAATCATTGGATTATTAGAAAGTGGCAAACATCACCCGGAGTATCTATGGCAACTATCCCGAATACCGAATCCCTATCCCTAACCCATATCCCACATATGCTGACTGCTGCTGTCGGCCATTTGATGAACCCAATAAGGGCAAACACGAAGTGCCACTCAGGCCCAAAATGACAGCCCGAAATGCTGAATAAAATTGAAGGGCCCGGAGGCCCAGGGCCTTTCAAGAAGTATCTTGTATTGAATCTCGGCGACCCGGGATGGTACTGCACATAAAAAAGATTAACACCGGGCTGCAAAAGTGGGTCAGAGGGTCGTGTTTGACATGGTTGATTCGGGATGTGTTTGCCTAGTCACCTGACTCTGCAATGTTTATTTCAGGACCCCCTCCCAAACGACTCCCCATATATGTATCTGCCTCTACAATTGCATTGCATTTCGGCTGTTGCATTATTTATAGAATTTCGTGCTTTATTTTTTATGCCCTGGCATACGTGATTTTGCATAAATTCCCCACCTCCACCTCCACTCCACATTCAGTTTAGTTTCCCTTTTCTTTCCTGTTTTCAGTTCCCTTTTTCCACTCCGGATTTGCATTCGCCGCCGTGCACATGGAAATCGCTGGGGCCCCGGATCCGGAGTCCTTTTATTATTTATGCCCCGGCTGCCACAGCAGACAAAAATTGCTCGAATAAATGTACTGAAAACGAAAGGCGATAATAAATAAATGGGAGCCCAATAAAGATTGAGCGATACTTTCGGAGCATCGCAATTAAGGAGCCAACTTTAACCCATTAAAAGCTTAAGCGTATTATCTTTAAATGCCATGGAATCCAAGAATTTTGAATGGGTTGAAGGGAAGAGGTAGAAGGTTTAAGCGAATGCATGTACTAACTACTAGGGAAAGGTGAAAACTAATGCAAGCCAGCATTATTCAGCAAGCTTAATTACCAAATATAAAGAACATAGTGACTTTACAACTTTTTATAGTTATTTAACCAACTGATGTCGGAATATTTACAGACCTTCCTGGCAGCTTTGATAAAAAACAGTTGTCTTAATGACTTAATTAAGCTTCAAAGATATCTTAAAAAACTCACGGGCCTACAAATTATGATATCAGCATTTTCTGACAGGCCGCATTTCTTCTTCTATTTTCGTTTATCTTTGCTTAATTAATTCACTCTATTTAAAGACATTATCATTGTCCTAACAATCGATGAATGAACTTTGTGGGCATTTACCACTGTGTTGCCATCAATATTAATAACCTTTCTTGTTCCTATCGATAGTAAACTTGAATTGACCCATTATGCTTTCTGGGGTTAATGTATTCCACGTTTGGCAGTTATTTTAGATCACTTTACTGACCCTTTCAGATGCCCTAAACTAGGACACAAATAAGATTCGCACATCAGCTGGGGTTAAGCAGGTTATTCGAGTGTTGTGCCAACACTTGCAGGTGTTGGCTGGGCCAAATTAAATAACATACGGCGAGCCTGAACGCACGGGACAGACCCCCGGACACAGTGCGGGGTTAAGGGTCCTGGATGGGGGCATGTCGGGGGCTGTCTTCCGTGTTTATCAGCGCATAAATACTAAAGCAAATGTACTGTTAACTCGTATTTTCCACACAAAGTGTGAATGGAACCAGGTGAGGCGAAAGTGTGTTGGTTGTAGCCACCACAACCGCTGAAAAGGAGAGCCAACTTAAAGACAGAACGGAAAACTAGGGAAGAAACCCCATTGCTAAACCATTACGTAACCTAAAACGCGACCAAAGTCGGTACAAAACGCTGCGCTGGCTAACTGGAAAATTGTGTAAATAAACAGTATTAAATTTTCCGCTTGACGGCTAATAGAACGGCGGACGGACACGCAGCCCCAGTTGCTGCCGCAGAGTATCGATTCCCCGGAAAACTCGATGCCTCGAGGGGACGCGACTGCCAGATGATATAGCTGAACTCTACTCCCAACTAAATTTACAACAACTTAAGCCATAAAAATTGAAACGATAGCCGTAAAAATAAGGCTACATTGGAGGACTGCACGGGGAAATATCCATTACCATAAGATGTGGTTTTCCAATGCAGTTTTTAGAGCTTTATATCTTAAGAAAGTGTTTTAAATTTAGAAGAATTATCACTCTGTCATTAAATCTTGTTAGTTTATCTTGAAATCTTGATGCTTAACTTTTTATTATGTGTAGTAACTTAGCAATTAAAAATATTGTTTTAAATCCTAAACATTTCTCCCTGTGTAGCTTTCGTACACCCTTCCCTCCTTCGATTTCTATATATTTCCTTATTCTCGGCTTGCTATCTGGTACCCAGCAGGCCACGGGGTGGGCATCCTTGGGGGGATGGGGTTTTTAAGGGGGCGTGGCAACTGCTGATGCTGCGTCTTGGTTGGGCGCCACTTAACGCCACTGACAGCAGGTCTCGTTCCCATTTCCCCATTCTCTTGCCCATGCCAAAGTTCATTGGGGGCCAACAGTTTTCTTTTCCTTTCGCTTTCCCATGTTGTTTTGCTCAAGAAGAGCTCGGCATTTTCGTAACTTTCGTGGCACGGAGCAGACGAAAAAGTTTTCCCCTATGTGGCTATGAGGTCGAGTTGCCAGATGAGGCAGAAATTCTCAGTAGTCCCAAGCTCTTAAACTCTTTTTCGCAAGTGACGTGTGAAGGTGTTCGCTGTTCCGTCTTAATTTGCTGGGATGCTAAGAAAAACATGGTACAGAAAACTCTGGAAGGTAAAGGCATCTTGAAAAGGAATAGCGTAATTAATAGCAACACTAGTAACTTTATAGGAAATTCAGATAAGAGAGAAAATTAGGTTGTAATTTTCTAATCTATTAAGGCTTATGTTGGAATATCTTCTTTGATAAAATCTCCCAATTTCAGTAGAATAAAAACAGCATAATACATTTAACGTACAATTTATCACCACAAATGTATTATTTCCCTTATAATTCGTAAGGATGCTCTTTTATCTACTTAAAAATCAAGAATACCGCGCATTCTAAAAACAAAGTACCATTTTAAGCACTGTTCACTGTAGCACATAAATTTAAATCAGGCCCATCTTGTCCAATTTTTGCAGCTTGCTTTTGGGCGCAAACACTCGCACACAGAGAGAGGGGCTTTCACCCTCTGCCACACACACACACCCCAACACTCACCCACACAGGCGCACTTGAACAGCCAGCTCTTCAGACACGCATATGCAAGGACTTAGTTTTAACCCGGGGCTATCAAATCTTGTAGCTGACATTTATGCGAGTCTAAGTTCTATTAACGTACTCCCACCAAACTCTCTCGCCTGCACAAGTGTGTGTGCCTGTTTCCTTTGCCATTCAGCAGCTGCAGGAGTGTGTGTGAGTCTGGCAGTGTGTGCGTGTTGACATTGATTGCGTGCGTGTTGCTGACAGTTGTCCGTACAAGCTTAATGGCTGTGCGATTTTAATTGAATAATATGCAAGCCCCTGAGCCGAGCCCCAATCCCCTGTGCTCCGAACCACATCCCCATGGAATCCCCGTAGGTCCTTCTCCAACCCCCCCGCCAAGATAAACAAAGGCGATCCCAACCGGAGTCGGAGTCATCGGGGTCTCGTGCTTATGACATGGGCCATGTTTACTTGGACTCTGACTCGGTTTCCCTCCCTCCTCCCTCGGCTTTCTTGGCCTTTACTAGCCGTGTCCCTGCTGGCCAAGATTTAGTAGCGCCATAATTGTCAATGGGCCATTAGGACGATGTCCTGGATGTCCTCCTGCCCCCTGTGGTTTTGTCAATCACTCAGCCGTAAGCCTCAGAGATGGCAGCGTGATAGATATTGTTATTACTTTGGTACACTAGGAATAATCACGGGACTTATGTGCAATTAACAGGGCTTTTACAGGTTTGAGGAAGGAATACCAATCACTTCGGGCTTAATATCATTTATGAAGGTGCCTAGAAGTATGCAACAGTAAACTGTGAATACGGAAAACCTATCTATTTATTTCGAAGTGAAGCATACTTTAAGGTATAAGATAATATATTTTCAATTTCTATTACTAATTTCTCAGAGGAGATTCGTATCAAAAAACATTTATTGTATGAAAGACTGTTTAGGAATAATTAAGAGTCAGTTCCCTTAATTCTTCCCAGTGCAGAGTCATAATTCGAATCACAACTTTTGCTACGGTCACGCACTCATCTTTGATTCGCCGATGATTATGAAGTTGGCCTGGCCGGACAGCCTGCTCCACATATTTTTATTGACATCGGAGGCAAACAAAGCGGAAGTCAGCTCCATCTCCATCCTCAATCTTCCAGCCTCCATCCCGATTCCATTATTACTCGAACTTTGCGGACGCGTGTGGAAATTATGCTCGCATGAAAAATCGATGAATTATTGTATTTAATGTATACACGCCTCGTCTCGGTCCCTCGTATTATTATGAATTACTGCCGGACCAGCGACTTTGATCTGACAGGTCATGCGTTAAAGTTGACTCTGGATGCCCGACACAGGCATTCCAATTAAAGCTCGCCCACCCACGGGCAAATATTTGTGATGTTTGTGCTTCGGGAGCCATAAATTAAATTAGATTTCAATTAAATGGTTGTGGCACACAAATATCGAAGACAATTAGTGGCTGCATACTTCCCAGCCCGGCCTAATGTCGCAAATTGAAGGCGGGTGACCCCGACTCGGGGGAGAGATCATAGGCCAAGAAATTAATTCGAAGCAAAGTCCTTGGCACACAGAGCACAACTTTCACAAAAGACAGATGCAGTTTGTGATGCGACTCCTCACGTCGAAGGCATGAGCCAGCAGAAATGTCATTCGGATGGCAGCTCAAAATATGCAAAATAAAATAAGAAAATCCAGGACGAGGGGCCACCGACGACGTGAACATGTAGAAAGAAATTGAAAACGGAAGGAAGCACAAAACGAAGAAAGCAGGAGCAAAAAACAAACAAGC